CTTGCTCCCTGACCAGTGATTGAACTCATGCTGCAGAAGCTGTGGATTGCTTCATAGAGTGGTGTTTAACCCCTTGTGCCATCAGGGAGGCCCTAAACAAGTAATTCTTAACCTTTTAGAGAAGTCCTGTCCAATAAAAATATAATGTGAGACAGAAATGCAAGTCAGTTACATAATTTTAAAATTTTCTAGAAGCTACCCTTTAAGAAGTAAAAAGAAATAGGTGAAATGGATTGTAGTTATGTTGGGCTAAATAAAATTTCTTCTTCAATAAAATTAAACTCAGCCATATTTATCTTACCTAATATCCAAAATATTTCATTTGATATATGAGTATAAAGTTACTAATGTAATAACCTACTTTTTTTTTTTTTCACACTGTCTTCAAAATCATGTGCCTAGGACACAGATGTCAAGTTGGATTAGCTACATCTCAACAGCCACATATAACTAATCGCTGACATATTGAACAATGGTGATTTTATAGTCTCTCTGAATTCTGTGAATTTGCTCCTCCAGAATAAAGCAGCCAAGTGTGCAGTTTTGAAAACTCTATCAGGGGGTTTTGGAACAACCCCTGAAGTCCATCCCTGGAGAACAGATTAGAATTCTTGCTTTTAAGATCCCTCAGGCTTCCAAAGGATCTGGCAACCTCTCTGCAAAGCAATGACAAAGTAGCCTCTACCTCTGTGCCTATGTGGAGGACACCCGCCAATTAGAGCTTTAGAACAAGGCCTTATTTTCCTTCCACCCCCAGGTTCTTGGCGCTAACGCCCTCACACCATCACCTCATGTATTCACGGGTTCTTTCTTCACCTCCAATTGCTACAGGTGTGTGGGGGAAAAGAAAAAGAAATAAAAAGAATTAGAATTAATAGAGACTTCTTGTTCTAGCTGGCTAGATAAACCAGGTTTGCTATACTGGGCGTTCTTTGTACAAGTGACAGGGGTTTATGGATAAGAAAGAGGGTTTGTACTTAAATATCAGAAACATTCAAATGTTTGGCTGGTGATACTGTTCACTCCTTTATTGCTTGCGTTGTCCTCTAAATCGTTTATCCTCTGGAGGATCTTGACAAAGCGCCTGCACAAAATGAACAGGCGTGCAAAGCCTGGATGAGCAAAATTGATTTGCCTATAATCTGTTTGTGAAGCGATCAGGACGTGGTTGAAGTGATTTTAATTTCAGAGCCCAAGTCGCCAGTCTGTCTTTTTGTCAGGCAATTAGTTCCGCTGGCTGGGCAAGAATGCTGTGCTGAGAGCTGAGGGGGACCCGGCACTGCAAACGCCATCTCCTTTTTCTCCCCCCTCCCTCCCAGTGTTCCTCACGCCAAGCCTCTTTTGTCTCTCTGGTTTATTTTGGGTAAAATTTCCTGCTCTGCACCAGGCCCTGTGACTTTGCTGTGCTTAGTGCTGTGGATCACTGCTCTGTGGAAGGACCTGGAGGAAGGTAAACAGAAGGAGAAATCCTGACAGAAGATCATACTTTCTGGACTGTCTCACAGTGTGTTAAGTTCTTCAACTAGCAGTTTTGTTAATATACTTAGCAACCTCAATGATAGGTATTACTATCCTTACCTTGCTGGTGATGCAGTCAGGGTGCAGAGAGAGGCTTAATCAGCCCAAGTCCAGAGTTCAAGAAGCGTCTCCCTGCAACATGGACGTCCTTCCTCCCTTGCCTGTGTGGTCCTTTTGTCACTCACAGAAGCCTTTGCCTCCTGGACTTTGGGGAGGAACCAGGTTGGATAAAGAGATGGGATAATAGTAGCCTCCACAAGGTGCTTCCACCCATGAGAACAAGGGCTTTGTAAGTATCCTCTAAACCCACCTGACCCTGGCGCTGCAGGCACATTGTGGGCACCCAGGAGTCAGGAGCATGTTCCTTCTGCGACTGAGACATGCGATCTCATCCGAATGTCACCACCACCTTGAGAGGTGGCAAGGAATGGCATTATGCTCTTTATTTATGATTGCTTTATCTGAATTAAAGCAATTTAAATGCACTTTTGGCTTGTATTTTGTCAGATGATCACTTGCCTAAAAAAGCTGAAGTTTCTGGAAGTATTTCCTGTACATTGTGTTTTCCCTTCTGCAAAGAGCTGGGAGAAGATATCTTCACGAGGCTAGAAAGTTCCATCAGAGGTGCTGCTGTAAAGGCAGGCAGACACCAACTGGTGAAATTTAATACTTTTCCAATGAATAAATGAACGAATACCATAACGGAAGTGTTTTCTTAATAAGGCTGAGCTAATTACAGTGATCCATCAAAGGTTGGATTAATGCTTTCCAGCGTAGCTGACTCCATTTTTCAAAATGAATCATCAAAAAGAGCAAAACAACTCATTTCTTAGAGATGTCAAAATGCAATTTTAAATGTCTTGCTAAGTAATGGCAAGACACTGGAGTGGGCTAGTCAGTGATTACTGCTATTTAACAGTAATTTAAAAACAAGGCAAGGGCAATGTTTGTACCAATGTGGCATTTAAATAGTCAAAACCAATTCTGCTTAGATAATGAATTAATTCATGCTTACTAATAGTATATTTCATTTATTCTGTACTATATTTCTTGAAACTTCAAGTGTATCATGGTTATATATTTAGTTAATTATTTTAGCTATCTATATCAGGAGACTGGCATTGTCTTTTCAAAAAAAGTCAGAGAAATAAAAATATATGGTAAGGTTTATATTGATCATGATGCTCATCCACACTTTTAGGGACTCTTGAATAAAAAAAGGAATAGTAAAAAGATGCCAGAAAGACTTGGCTTCTTACACTAACTTTCCCAGAAAGTGCTGAGTATCTTAAGCTATTAGAAGCCGTAATCAGTCTTTGGAGAAGAAGTGCTTTTTACCAGGTTAGCATTTTATGGAAACACAACAAAAATTGATAATATTTAACCCTTTCTGGTCCTTACTTTAATTGTATCTATGAGAATCTGTCTTTAATTAAGACTTATCTAATACAATTATGGGGAAGCATTTCTTCAGTATGAAGCAACTCATTTACTTATTGACCATCTATAAAGTATCAGGCACTGTGCTAGAAACACATGATGAATGTTACACATTTCCTGCTGCAAAGGAGCTCACAGTCTACTAGGCACTCAGACAGAACAACTGTAACAGAGGGTGATCAGTACAATAGCAGGGCAAGCAGAGGCTTCTAAGAAGCCACATTGTTCAACTTAGGGAATAAGAAATGACTTCCCTGGAAGGTAGGAACAAATCATATCATGAAGCCTAGATAAAGTTTATTCAGGTGATGAGGGAGAAAAAGAGAGTACAAGAAAGAACATGTCTTGACTGAAGAACTGCAAGAAGTATGCTGTTGCTGAAACACAGACATTCCAGGGTGGTGGTGGAAGGAGGCTTGAGAGCCTGCTGTCTAATATGGTAGCCAATAGCCATATGCGGCTATTTAAATTTAATTTCAAATTGAAAAATCAATAAAGTTAGAATGCAGTTCCTCAATTGCACTAGCTGTGTTTAAAGCTGTGTTTAAAGTGTTTAAAATGCAGCTATTGTGTTGGTCAGCGCAGATGTAGACTATTTCCATCATAGAACTTTTTGTTCATTAGTGCTGCCCTCGAGGCAGATAGAGACCGGGAAGTGATGAACTTTGAGCGACATGCAAAGGTGTTTGGACTCTACTCTCAGGACAGTGACAGGTCACTGAAGTGTTTTATACAGGGGAATAGAATGATCTTATTTATATATTAGAAAAATCACTATGCAGGGCATGAAAGGGATTAAAGAGTGGCAAGATTAGGAATTAGACCAGTAAAGAAAATACTTCTCTAAACAGGGTAAGAGATAATGTGGATCTGGACTAGGTAGCACAGTAGGGAAGTGTATTATGAGATAGAATTAACAGGTTTATATTTTATATTTATGTGAAAGTTAAGGGAGGCAGAAGTTAAGGTTGATTCCTGACTTGGGCAGTTAGTAAATGATGGTGCCATCTACTTAGGCATCCAAGGAGAAGAAGGAATAGGCCTGCAGGGCAGAGATGAATCAACTTTGTTCTTGAATTTGAAGTGAACAATGGGCATCTATGTGAGCTTGCAGAAGGCATTTACATAGTCAGATCCATAGCTGAGGAGATAAATGTGGGCTGGAGAAAAAGAATTTGAAGTCATCACCACTTGGATGACATTGAAGCTATGGGGACAGATGAGATCTTTAAGAGAGTGTGGAGTGAGATACTAGGAAAAGCAAGGACTGAACGTTGACAGTGATAAGATCAGTCTAGAAGGAGAAGCCCAGAGAAGTAGCCAATGATGCAGAAAGAGAAGCAAGAGACTGTAATGGAATCCAAGAGAATATTTTAGACAATAGGAATGATCATCTCATTAAATGCTGCAAAGAGGATAATAAAGTAAGGGTTGAATAGTGCCAATATGATTTTGCAGGAGAAAGGTCACTGGGGACTTTAATGAATGAACTTCCAGAGAAATGATGGAGGCCGAGCTGGATTACAACAGGTTAAAGAGTGAATGGGACTGAAGAAGTGACAGCAAAAATAAACCGTTTCTTCAGAAAACTTAGTGAAGGGCATTAGAGGTGACTGGTAACAATAGCCACTCTACAACTAGTGTGTCATTTTCAATGTCTACCTCATTATTAGAGATCCCTGTGGTGTTCTTATGCTCTGGACTACATAAGCATGTTACAAGAACAAAAGGGATCTTCCATATCTTTACATCTTTATTGTTCCCAGTGTAGTTCTTGTCTACAGGAGATGCTCTGTTGATATTCAATTACTTTTTACCTTGAAATGGAAGACTGTTACTGAACGTAACTAATTTAAGTGTATGTCCTTTTTATGTGTTTTTTCCTTCATGCAAATTTCTCTGTTACAGGTGAGAAAAAGGTGATGACAGGCCTATAATTTAATAGAATCTCACCTTTTCAGGAAATTTTGTGAATTAGGGGTAAAAATTCTCCCACTAGGAAAAAAAACAACAACAGAAGAAATAGAACAAGGATGTCTGTCTATATTTTAATAAAAATTTTATTATGGTTATTTACACCAGTTCCTTGATAAGCATATAAATGTAAACTTCTATAGTTGGCATTATTTCACATGTGACTTATCCAAATTCAGAGTTAGTACTGTTGTTTGAGTGTACAGGTAGTGAGAAAATTTTATTATATTCACAGAATATACATACACGTGCATCCAAGGTGTGTTGCTTTTTAAGCCAGTGGTATAGACACTGTCCCATTGGCCCTGCTTCTGCTCCGCAGATGTGCACTGGAGTCAGCGAGGTCATCTACATGCTCCTCACTCTTCTTTTCCTTCAGGCTGTTGATGAATCGCAGGGTGATCTCATCCCATTCCTCAGGCAATAGCATCAGTAGAAACCCAATGCAGATGATGATGGTAGCGGCCAGGCGCACCACGTTGAATATCACCTCCTGCTTCAACAGATCCACAGCTGGGGAAGAGATATCAAGAAAGTCACAGTCTAAGGCTGTTCCTTAGCTTCCTTGGAAACAAACGACCAGATTTAGGGCTACTTCTAGAGACTTGCAGAAGCTTCCCTTGTTCTTTCAAGATGGTCTTTTGCTTTTTTCACATCATTGTCTATGCTGTTCTCTTCATTTGGTTTCCATCCCTTCTCTCTAAATCACATGCATCCCTGAGGCTCACATCATCTGTTATAATCACCTTGACAGTGTTATTTCTTAAAATTTTTCTTCTGCATTCCTCATGCTTCTCCAGTTTCACTGGACCACTGAAGATTATCTCCAATGAGTCAAGCCTGTTAATGTCTAAGTCTTTGCACATGCTATTCTTTTAAAAATTTTAAATTGATGCAAAAATTATATAATTAAAATTAACCACTTTATTTTATTTTTTGTGTGCTTCACTCATTTAATCTAAATAGTACATTACTTATATATCTGAGTCATATATCGTGTTGTAAACCAATGTTATTATAATTAAAATTATAAAATAAATTAAGCTTCTCACTTGAAAGAAAAGAATAAAATAATGAGAAGTAAAATTTAACCAAAGAGGTGAAAACTTAGCATTTTAAAGTGAATTTAGTGGCATTATGCGCATTCATTTTGTGCCACCACCTGCGCTTCTGGTTCCAAAACATCTCTGTCACTTCCAAGTAAAACATTGTACCCAGTTCCTTCCCAGCCCTTTCTACCCCTACTTCCTAGCCCCTGGTAATCACCAATCTGCTTTTTGCTTCTGTGGGTTTACCTATTCTGAATAATTCATATAAAAGGAATCATAATACGTGACATTTTGTGTCTGACTTTTTTCACTTAGCATAATGTTTTCAATGTTGAACAATAGCACAGCCTGTATTACTACTTCATTCTTTTATATGGCTGAACCCTGCCCCATTGTACGTATCACAACTTATATACCCACTCATCTACTAATAGACATTTGGGTATTTCTGCCTTTTGGTCACTATGAAGAGTGCTGCTATAAACATTGATGTACAAGAATATTTTGTGTACATGTTTGCAATTTTGGGGGTATGTACCTAATAATGGAAATATTGGCTGATACATGCTGGCTTTTATTTTATTTAAAAAAATTTTTTTTGCATGGAATTCCCTTTCCTGTGATATTCCAGTTTATCAAAACCCTCTGCTCTGTGCAGGCAGGCTTCTTGGATGCCCCTCCTATGTACTCTCAAGAGCATTCAGCACATACCTCTGTCAAACCAATTGTCTCTCCACTTTATATTTACTCAATTCCTTTTCTCACTTTCTATACTATTTAGTCCCCAAGGGCAGGATCTGTGCCTTATTCAGGACCTATCACCAGTGTTGGCACAGTTTCTGGAATATACTAAGAGCAAGAAAATTATTTGTTGAATGAATGAATCTGTGGGTGAATGAATGAATTTTCTGGGTAACTACATTCCTATTCCTTTCCTCTGAAAATTTTATTGTACTTGGGGTCTGTCTCACAATTTGGCATTTAATAATAAATACTTTGTAGAGTTAATAAATTATACAATTACATAATAACTAATATTAAATTACTCTAGAGTTCTAAATTATTTCATATTTGTTGATCTTGTTTTCCAAATTCAGTCCTACATGTCTAAAAGAAGCAGTAAGGTCATTTCCCCCTCATGTTTATAGCCCTGGTCACATAACATGTGCTCAGTAAGCAACTGCTGACTGACCTGAGGTGAAGCAAGATGACTTCCCAGTGCTTAGAATCCTCGAATTTAAAGTCAGGAGGACTGTATGGTCATCCAGGTAACCCACTTCAGTTACTTGTTCCACTTATAGGTTTCACTTGAGAGACTATCCTAGAAAAGTAACGTCTCCTTTTGTCCCTAAAATGAGTCAAAATGCTTCTCTTCTCTCTATTCCAGAGGGCCATCTGCTCTGCCCCCTGGAGAAGCTTCCCCAGCTCCCCATGGATCGTCTGATGGAGCGCCAACACCCTGCACATTCCTACACTTTCATTAGTGATGTTTACTTCAGAATCCTAGGCTGGGATGCCTTTTGTTTCCATAGGCCTTCCTCTAAAAATACCACAAAATTAGGTTGTCAGGGAGATTACATGAAACACAAATGATACATTTGGTATTTAATTTTAAAAGCACAACCAAATAAAAACAGTGTTTGTAGCTGCAAAATTTAAATCTGTTGCATAGTTATTCTGCTGTCTGTCACCTTCATGATATTTAAAAACATCTTCCCAGGCAAGGGACATAATTCACAATTGTAGAAGAAACAGCCCAGGCTGTAAAACAAACACGAGCAGGAGACTTATTGTGCACGTTCAAATGGTACCAGTACCTGCATTCCCAGGGACGCTGAGCACTGTCCCGATGGAAATCAGGATGGGGTATGTCAGCACCACACCAACATTCACCAGGATATTGAAGGCTGTGAAGTAAAGGAAGATAAAATATAGGCTGAAGGGGAGTTGATATGCTGGGCTCTTCTTAACACAAAAGAATAAATGTCTTTGCTCAATATACCTTCAAAACTGTCTGCACCTTTGCCCAATTAATCCTTTCATTTTGGAGATGGATACATGCATATCTCACCTGAACTGAGTCTTCTTTTTTCTTCCTCTGCTACCCTGGCTGCTAATCTCTTGCCAACCAGCTGGGAGGGGGTATATGGTACAAATGCAAAATGGTAAAAGAACCAATCCACTATGCTTCTCATTAGTGCTACACAGATAGACTGGAGCCAGCCAGAGGCTGAAAGCATGTACGTGACCGAGGTGTTACATTGCCATATTATGCCACATTCCTCAACAATTAAAAGGCTCTAGTGCTACTTCCTAAAGAGAGAGCTATCCAAAGACTGCCTATGTTGTTTTACCCTTTCTCTTTTGAGGTGAGCATCACATGGGCAAAGCTGTGTTCACTGTAATTCACCAACCCCCAGAGACCTTTTCCACATCTTGATTTGTGCATAGATAACCCATGAGCAGAACTTCTCTCACCCTTTAATTAATATTATTGACCCTAGAAATAAAGTTATTTAAAGTAATTATGTCCTATAAAATAATAAAAATATATATTTTCAAAAAGAAAAGGAATTACAAATTACATAACATTATTTTAATAGATTTCAATCAAATTTTTTTAAAAAAAGATTTATTTATTTATACATACAAGAGCTGAGGTATAGGCCAGAGGTGCAGGAGGCTGGTGCAAGGGGTTAAGACGCAACCTATGAAGCTATTCACAGCCACTGCAGCATGAGTTTGATCGCTGGCCAGGGAGCTGCCCACGTGGTGTAGCAGACCTCTCCTGCCTCGCCCGCCAGTCCCCTCAACAGTGTATTTCAGTCACTCTTCCTGTTCTGCTCCCCGCTGTCTCTGGTGAATCCTCTCACCACCCCCGCCTCTGGCCTGTGCCCCGGTTTTTGTATGCACAAATGAATAAATCTAAAAAAAAAAAGAAATACACTGCTGAGGAGAGCAGGAGAGGTCTGCTGCACCATGTGGGTAGCTTCCTCGACAGCCGGGAATTGAACTTGTGCTGCAGATGCTGCGGATTGCTTCATAGTGCTGTGCGCAACCCCATGCACCACCAGGGAGGCCCTCAATCAAAGGTATTTTAGGGGTTATCATGATGAGTGTTAACAGCTATGAAAGGTCCTCACTACAGAGACGCTGTCTGTGGAAATGAATCAACCAAGTTGCCCAAATATTGGCAGAACCAAAGATGGTTCGAGAATCATTCCTAAATAGTAGAACAAGGCTTATTCTTCTATTGTTTTCTATAATTTTGACTTTAGTGAAACCAACTAGCAGTAAACTGGGGTCACTCCTATATGGGTTTCACTTTCTAGACAGCAGAGGTAGCAATCAAGGCAGAGGGTCTCCTTCTATTAACAATAGCCCCTCTTTCCTGGCAGGACTGCCTTGGGAATCAATATTGAAGCACTTCCACTCCCTCTTCATGCATTGGAGTCAAATATAACACAATCTAAAAAATCAGCAATTTATATAATACAGCACAGGCATTTTTCAACTTCCCACTGGTATTTTATAGGCTGAACTGACTATTTTAGAAAATGGGTAAAAGTATTGGTATCTGAGTAACAAGAACCAGGTGGCTCCACCTAAAAGCGTTGCCTGCTTGTCCTTATTCTTTAGATGGAACACTTATGTGCTCTTTCGACAGGTTAAGGACAAGAGGAGGTATTCAATGTGTTTTCTGTAGCACAGGGCCCAGCCCAAGTTCAAGAGGGTCTCAGATACATCAGATGAATGGATAAGGCCAAACTACATTTGGGCTAAGCTACACTCCCTGAAAGATAGGTCACCCAGGGAGAAGGAGGGAAGTAAGGTGAATCTAAGCAAGGGAGAAAGCTATAGTGACAGCAGATGTGGGGCAGTTGAGAGCACAGTCTTCTGTTTGTCTCTCAGATGGGTCTCTCAGCCCAGCACAATTAGATCGTATCTGATTCCTCTGGGGAAAAGAGGGCTGGAAATACAGACGTAAGAACGGGAGCTCGGAGGATTGTGAAACCCTGTGGTGTATAGTCGGAGGGGCTGCCTCCTCTTGTTGTCACTGAGCAGCTTGGGCGCAGTGAGGGCTGCAGTGCATGGGGGATGGCCTGGGAGAGTAGCTCTGGTGCCAGGAGGCATACGCTCAGTGGAGAATGGAGACCGTAATGTTTGGTGGAGACCAACAGTGTCCAGAGAGCACAGACCACACGCAGCCTGTGTAGGTTTGCTTAGGAACATGTATGAGAGAAGCCAAGGGATATAAATTGGTGGAGGGCGACTTTGCAGCAAGTTGGAGATCATGTGTATACAGCTGGGCCAACATTTAGTGAAGTTTTAGTTATAATTGTTCCCTGTTATTATCTGAGCCTGGAAGCTATCTAGGTACTTTTATTAGGATGTTTTGAGCCTATGGAATCTGCAGTTGATTTCTACTTAGCTTAGCAGAGGTTATGAGAGATCATACCCACATATTTTTGACCTTCAAAGATAGAATTCAATGGACCGACAATTAATGTTTGATTTTTTTTTTGAGTGTTTCCTATCTTGTTGAAAAAACTCCCCATAGGGAGCCTGGGCCAAAGGAGAAGAAAATGACCCAGAGTCTATGTGGGAATGAAATAAGGGCATGTTTTTTCTCCCGAGTTGCAGTGTGGTTTCAGGTTGTTTCAGATTATGTCACCTTGATAAGAAGGTCAACAGAGGGTTGGTGAATGTTCCCACCCAAGTCTGGTGGGTGGGCAATGTGAAGTGGGCAGAAGGGGTTGACCTTAGGTGGCATGAGGAAATGGGAGTAAAATGAAAATGGTTTGATTTTGATTCAAAGAGACACTTAGTGATTGGCTGGTGGATGTTTGTGTAGTGAGAGAAGAACAGACTTGTTATTGTTCAGCTTGAGAGTGGGAGCCCCTGGTTGCTCATACAGCCCTAGAATTATAGGAAGTTGGGAGAGAGAACCTTAAAAGACTCCAGGTGACTTTTTCTTGACCATCAATTAGGCACAACCTACTCAGCTGGGCTACAAAACCTGTTCTTCCTTGTTCTCTTGCCTGGTGAGTGCTTCTTATTTCAAATTCCTACTCCGTACTCAGAGTGAAGAGTTTAAAACGTACAGGTGAGTCTGCCACCTCTCTGTTTAAAGTGGCTTTTTAATTCAACCTTCTCAAAGTGTCTTTCTGGGCCCTTTATAACCTACTTTCCTTTTGAAGGGCGCACCTTCCTTCCTCCTCACACCTCCAGTACTCAGTGCTTGCCATTTTAACCCACTTTGAGTTGTCTGAATGTGCCACCCACTGTCTCCCCCTGCCTCACACACTGTGCTGTGCATGAAGCACAGTAGCAGCATACAGCATATCAGGAGGATGGCCAACGCTGCTTTAAGACTGGCCGTGGTCAGAGTGGCCTGAGCCTCCAGATCACACCTTTACCCAGGGGAGACGCACCAGTTGAAGAGCTCTGATCTAACCAAGCATTAGTCTGCAAAGAGTCTTCTGAATAATCAGTGACAATAACTAACCTTCAGCAAGGCTGGGGAATAGAAGACCAAGGTACCCAAGGGAATAATCCACTGTGATAATTTAACTAGCCAAGTGACAAAATGAATGAAAGGCAAATCCTAGGGCTACTTACCCAGCCACAGTCCAGCCATCCCACAGAGACAGCCCCATGGCAGAGCTGCAAATGAGGACCAGTGCTCCACCTTGGTGAAATACAGTATGACGGGAGTGAAGGAGATGAAGATTAAATTGAAGAAACCCAACGTAGAAACAAAGTGTGCTGCCTCACCAAAGTTGGCACTTCCAAGGAACATCTTAAACAAAACCTGGAATGGGAAAAACTCTTAAGCCACACAGTGGGAGACTTTGCTAAATAGAAAGGAGCGTTCCATTCACCTGCATAGTGAACTAACCAGTTCAAAATTTATCCATTTCTTCTTACCCTGCCATCTTCATGACACTAATTGGGTTGTTGAAATAGGAATGAAGTAGAATGCCTTGTAGCCTCTATATGAAACAGCAGATGGCCATAAAATGTATTCTTGATGGTTTTGAAAACTACTGGGGGGCTGTACATGGTGCCATGTACGTGTATGCCCGTGGGTATGGGGTGAATGATAAATAAAAGTGCAGACAAATCCAGAGAAATCTCCTAGGATTGAGATGCCATCGATTCTTCCCTTCAAGCATGGTGTTTGTTTCCTCCTTATTTTGACAGCTGCTGAAAACTAAATTGGACAGAAAGCCTGTCATTACACTATTGATAGAAATAATAATGATGCTTTGGGTATATACACTTTTCTCCTTGAGCTTAAAATATTTTTTAAAAATATTGTGTTTATTCTTCAGATTAAAAACATTTATCTTTCTGGATTATTAGTGTGTTTCAGAGGAAGACAGCAAAAAGAGGTGAAGAGCTAATTTAAAATCAAACATCAGGCTGTGGAGGGGCCAGGTCTCTAGTCCACATTTTTGTTATTTTTTCTAATCCCTCTGTTTCTTCATTAATCCTCAAACAATGTAAAATAGAGCAGATCCTTTGCATAGTGTACATATGGTTTTATGCATGGCAGCAAATACATAATCCTAGAACACAGTCAGGGAAATGCTCTCTCTAGATAAGCATCTGGTTACATAAGAAGTTCAATTACTGCTTTTATTTTTAAAAAATAATCAATTAATTTATATTTTACAGGCTTGTTCATTTTTGTACAAGGTAAGCTTTCTCCTCGCAGGTGTAGTCCCCGTAGAATCCCCACCCAATTCACCCGTGTTCCATCACCATAGTCCCATGTGCTCTTCCCACCCCTGTTTTGATACCTCTCCCTCCCACTTCCCTGCAGAATGTCTCTGATTTATAGTTACCTGTTAATTTTGTTCATTTATTTATTTATTTTTCCTGATCCATTATTTGGTTCCCCTATATTGCTCCTGTAAGTGAAACTATCTGATATTTTTTCTTTTTCCTTCTGGCTTATTTCACTGAGCATAATCCCTTTCAGTTCCATCCATTCAACTATTGCTTTTAATTTCAACCAAACTTAGTATATTTTTCTTTTGAGAGACTTAAGAGAACCAGAGCATGTACTAGTTTTGGGTCACATCAGATTTCTCAATGTAGTCTCAGTTGGGGGGCATGTTAGACACTAAAGACAATTGAATGAACACTTGTCAAGCATTTTACACAGAATCAATGGGCCAGGAAATGTCAGTATGGAAATGACCTTCATGCCCTCAGAGCTGCAGCACTGGCGAATAATGAGAGGAGGCTTCCAGGAGGGATGCAAAGGGCATTTTCTTCCTTTCAGAGAGAATTTTCTCATTGAAACACTGAAAAGAGGTGAAAGTGGAGTAGTGCTTTAGCTACATCCAGAAAGTTGCCTCTTAAAAGCAGAGCTTTAGGAAATAACCTTTCAGATCTCTCAGTCTTCACGCCTGAAGTCAGGTGCAATGAATCTGAATATAATTTTCACTGATGATAGGCAACTCCAGGGGATCAAAAAATGGACAGTACATACATAGTAGAGACCCAGAGGATCCATCAGAAAGGAAAAGAGGATCTTTTGTTTTGCTAAAACTTCACTTTGCTAATAACATGAGCTTCTGGGACATGAGGTTAATATGGAAGAAACACTAAACTCTCAAGTGACAGCTTGTTAATTATTTTTAACACTTCAATGTAGTTAAAATAACTGTAGGTAAATTAAAGAAACATTAGGAGAGGTCTTACTTCTCTACCCCTACTACTTGATGATTGGGAGGGGTGAAGTACTGGAGCGTGGGCTTTGAGTGGCCAGTTCAAGTTTAAATCTGGCTGTATGACCTTGGGAAAATTTATCATTCAAAGCCTGAGTTTCCTCATCTGGAAAGCAGGGATAAGTACCTATGCCTCATAGCTTCACAGCAGTGAGTTAACACAGATGAAACTCGCTGCTCAGGCAAGTGCTCAGCATGTAGCAAGAAGTCAATAAATGATATTTGTTATTATTTAAACCACCTTTGCCTTTTCTTAGCCAAGATGTTTTTTGTCCATCTTACTTTATTATTTAAGTCTAAGCTACAAATGAGAGAGGACTACAGAAGACAGTGTACCTTATATAATGCAGATGTAGATGCAGAACCCACGGCAAATGCCACTCCAATGATGGAATCAGCATGGAAATTATCCGCATATGCCATCATCACTATGCCTGTGATTGCCATTATGGCAGCGACTATCTGTCAAAAAGAAAGCAAGAGATTAAAAGAGAAAAAAAAAAATCAATGCCTCCATATCCCAGAGCACGCAATTGAAGACTTCATCAAAGTTGCTAAATGCTTCCTCAAACCCAATTATCTCAGCCCATTGCTGTTTGCATGTCGGAAGGGTCAGTATTAACAAGAAATCAGTGTGCTCGTGAGTCATCCAGGCAGAGATTATAAAAGCTGCTCACATTTCTAATTAAGGGCTAGTGATTTTAGTGTAATTACTTAGCTCAACTTCGTAGAGATTAATGCCCATATTCGTGAAATAAATTTAATAGGGAGTCATTTCTAAACATGGTCATCTATACTGCATTCATTTTCTTTGGACAATTCAGCATGCATTTGAATCAGCTGCTTGGATCAATGCATGTTTTTCCATGTGACCAGGACTTGATTAGGGAGACATAATAGTGATTCAGTTAAGAGGCAAAATTTAGGCCAAAGGAAAAAAAATAGTGAATAATCTCAGTGATTTATAAAAAGCAAGCTTGCACTGTCACTAGGAATGTCAAAGGAGACCAGTTTTTTCTTTTGTTTATGTGCAAATTAAACTGCAGAAAGATATTTTCATTTAAGAATTTTAGAGCATTAACTGCATAAAGTGAAATGTCCATAACTGCACTGAAATCTTAATTTCACAACACTGTCAACAGTAAAATAACCCCAAAATAAAAGCCAACATGCCACTTCCTTGTGAAATCATCTCACTGACTTTAAAATCAAGATGAAACTTTGTGAGAAATTTAAACAATTTGAGATGCATCATTTTGTTAAGCTTCAGTTCTGAGTATTCCCAAGTAAGACAATTTCTAGGTAGTTTGATGACATGATTTTTTGGCCCATTTGAACATTATTAGTGAATTATTTATCACAACAAAATACGAATCTTTACCATGTAGCTGCAGACTTGCTGGAGACTGGTACATAGCATAATAACAATGACCCATATAATTTAGATTCTGCTAAGGCAATTCTTTTGTTCATGACTGCCCAGAGCAAGTGCACAGTGGGTTTTAGGGCCAACTCCATACTAAAGCATCCTTTATAACAAACAGCAGGAATGCCTGAGAACAGATGCCGACGTGTCAGCAGTGAAAAACCATCTTCATAAAGTGTTATCCGGGAGGCTGCTTGATGGGAGGTGTTTCTCTTGCTGAGTGAATATCATCGTCTCCAGAGCTGCCAGGCACGTGTTCTTGTTAGATTATGCCTCAAACTACAGGGAATATAATTTAATACACACACCACAAGGTGTCAAGGAAATTTTCCAAACAAAAAGTAATAGACTCATAAATAAAGATGGGGAGGGGGTAATCTAGACCTGGAAATTATGTGAGGCTTATCATTTTCTTTGATTTGGGGACTTACAGTTCAACCAGAGATTTGCAATAACTCTTGAGGCCGTCTGATTCCAAGGAGTTGAAATGGTACATTGGAAACTGGCATTTTCTGATTTTTTAAAAATTGGTATTCATGGGTTATAGTATTCATGTGCACAAATAGATACACTTCACAAGATTTAACTTGTAGGATAACATATTTGAATATTTGTTGACTTTTGATCAGTAATAAGTTGCAATTTCTTCATGAAAGAAACAAGTGATTACTTTAAGACAGGGTTAATAGAACACTGGGTGCTAATTCTACTGAGCTTTAACATGCTGTGCTGTTACATATTTAAAATGATCAAAAACATCCTACAATGTATATCTGGTTCAGTCTACCATATATAATATGTAATTCTGGGTTTAGAGAATTGTGACAACAAACAGCTCATACAAAAAACAAGCAAACAAATAAAAAACAAAAAAAAAGACTGTCTGAAAAGTGACAAACATTTAATACTGTTACTCCAGGATTTGACTACAGCTGGGAATGCTTCCTTTTTTTGAGTCAGTCATTAGTAAAAATACATTATGCATAATATTTCTATTATAAGGTTCCTCGAGGTAGGAATTGGATATGGTCAAAGATTACATAATTTTATAGCAATTCAAGCCTCTTGAAGATCTCCATTACATTTTATATTCAAGTCTCATGAAAATATTAGCCTGGACCACTTGCACTGACATATCAATTACACCAGTGTCTCTTTCAATTGCCTTCATGGAGAGAAGCATTTTTCACTCCAGGGGGCCAGAAAATGCTGTTAATTTAAATTTCTAAAAGCATAAAAATTTGAATATTTGAGATGATAGAAAAATTCTTCTCCACGGTAGAAACAGTAATTTATAGGTTAATAATCTATAAGTTATACAGGTTTCCTGGGGGGAAACAATAAGTGAAATTATTTTCTCCACTTTTATTTAAATTTCACAATTCTCTGATAGATAAAATTCTCTATGACCATGTTTTAAGAAAATTTCAATATGTTTCTTATCTGCACAGTTAGAAGTAATGAAAAGGATCTCAGCTAATTTAGAAAATGCAGGAAAGCCTTGGGTGGAAGTCCTATTTGGAATGGTTGCTCAGATGATCCCAAGTGGCTGTGTTTGACACCATTAGTTAACTTCATCATCCTCTTTACATGTGCAGAGAACAAACAACCCAAGCCCAGATCTGAGTCTCATGCATTTTCAGAATTAATCAGTTATCAGAGAAAGATTAATAGTCTGTACTCCTCAACAGAAAAAGACAAGGTTCTTCTCAAGGTTCAGCATACTGGAAATGTGTCAGTGGGAATGCAGTGCTTTAAATATTGTGCCAGAAGTGCTCATAAGTGCACATCCATCCACGTGCGATAACGAGCATGAGCTGAAATTGCACCATCTCAGGATGCCATCTGCTTGTCTTCAGAAAAACAGCTCTCCTCACAACCAATTCCAGTTCTGATCCCATAACAAACCAGAGGTATCTAAACAAGTTAGAAAACCCATCACTGCCATCCCCTGAATGTGGTTTGGATGAGAATGTTAGCAACCATGGTGACCACAAGACCACCAATGCCTCATTTTTAACTTTCCAAACCTCTTGGTCCTGAAACACCATGGTGTGTCTGGCTGAAGTGAGCACCTTCCCTGAGGAAGAGGATTTATTTCTTTATTGTCAGCATGCTATCTGAATGACGTCACCTCCTGGGCGAGTCACCTCCCTCTGCAGACTCAACCCTGCCTACTCTACGTCAACTTCCAGGATCAATCAGAGGGACTTCATGAGTCTGTGCAAACCTGTTTCTAAAGCCCAGAGAACTTTAAAGTTAGACATTTGTAACTTGTTCTGTATAGCGCCCTGCATGTGACCTTGCATCACAGCATGTTTTTCTCTCAAAGAATGTGTACATATAAAGTTTAGAGAAACATCTTTCTTTTGACTGTTTTTGTCTTCTTGGTCTTTATTTTTTCTCCGTTTTTAATGCAGACTCTTGGAAACCACAAAAATCTGGCCCTTTTCTGAATCTTCACAAACCTGATGACCTTCACTGAGTTCCCCATTGACAAATGCATCCCAGAATTATTATGCATATAATTATAGCATTTTTTCTAACATACTGGATATTGAGATGAAACTTTAACTGCTTCTCTTTCTACACTGTTCCCTCAAGGATTTTTTTTTTAAGATTTATTTATTTATTTATACAAGCACTGGGTACAGTCAGAGGCACGGGAGGGCAAGAGAATTCACCAGAGTCAGAGGGGAGAGCACAGCAGGCAGACTGACAAAGTATGCTGCTGAGGGGAGCAGTGGGCGGCAGGAGAGGTCTGTGTTCCATGTGGGACCCTCACCCGGTGGCCGGGGATCAAACCGGTGCTGCAGAGGCTGCGGGCAGCTTTGCAATCCAGCGCTCAACAGCTGCGCCACTGGGGAGGCCCTCCCTCAAGGATTTTAACATTCTAAATAAGTGATTGTAACCCAAATATTTTTCCTTAATTTACTCTGTTTGGTTAACTCTGTTTTTCTGAAGCCAGGTGGCAAATGGAGGAACTTTATTGGCTCACATGAGCCCTTAAATCCTAAGCCTACAGAAGTCTCTAAAATTGAGGACCTCAAAATTATAATCCAGCAGGATTGTATTCAAGTTCAAGACTGAAGGTCAGCAGCTGAAGGTATGCTATACCTTAATACCTTGGCCAATAAGAACTTCACTGATGAACATCCTCTTCTCTCTAAGTGTATTTTGATAGAGTCCACTTTGAAAGACATATGCTAGACAGAATCCTTACATTTGTCCACATCACATGTAAAGTTCTATAAAGAAGAACTCTCGGTCTCACTCAGATCCAGTGAAATAGAACAAGAGTGAATGTGAGATGTGCAAGAGGCAGGTAGTCTAAAGTCATCCAGATTCTGCGTGTGAGGTGGTGGTGGGGGTGTCCCTAGTACAGGTCAAGCTCACACCAAACACTGAGCCAAGAGTTGCATACTTCACCACCCTGCCACAAATACTCATCTGTTTTTATAGGAATAAAAACAATTTGAAAATTATCTCAAAAGGAGAACATGTTAGAAAAGAAGAAAAGAAACCCCATAAGACTAAAGGGTGTATGTAGATGGACTGAAATTCATTGAAGAAGTTGTGGATTCCTTATGGGCATAAATACGGGAGTCATTATAACTCAGCTTTCTTCTCCCTGTAGCCATAAGTCATTCCCTTATCAAAGGGGGATGAAAGAGGAAGTCCCACTATCCATCTTTTAATGCCTCCTCTAGGAAGTAGGAAGATTCTGGATAGAGGATTCTGCACTGTACGAATGAACGGTTACTGCATAAATGTCAGCTAAAGGCAAGATGGAAACAAAAGGTTATCTAAATATGAATCTTGTCTAAATATGTAATATTGATACAAATCAGTGTCACTTCAGCCCTACTGTCCTGATTAGTGCTCTGGAGCCCAGTTTAAGTTCAGAGAAGTGTAGTTTAAGCAATGATGGATTCCATTTTACTGGTATATTCCAATAAGTCCTTGGTGGATCTTGGAAAGTCTCCAGAAAAGCCAATTTGGGGAGCTAACTGGACCGGGACACAACTAGAATTAGAAAATATGTGGCAGTCAAGTTGAAAAGACATGAATTCATTTCCAAAATCTGCTAAGTGTGTGGGGTCTACCAAACCTTCTCTATGCCCCCCCAATTTTCTCCAAATGTATAAAGAAATTTGAAAATGAAAGAAAAATTTCAACTAATATATAAAAGGAGGGACAATATCTGAAAGGGTTTTAACTTTCTAGTCTGGCATTTATTCTTCATTAAAGTGAAATAGAGACCAGCTACAGAGAAAAAGACTCCCTGCCAGTGGCTTATTTTCTTTGAGAAAAACCTTCTTTTATTGAGGTGGTTTCTCTGATTCTCATGAATTTGAGAACTCTAGCTAAACAAGACAAAGCCTCAGAGATGAAAAACAACCATCCTCAAAGTTTTAAGTGCTGAATTCTCATCAATACTTTTGCAATTAAAAAGTTATGTTTTAAAGAAGTTTATAACATTATGAGATGGTCATTTATCAGCTGTAAGCAACTGCCCATGACCATTTTTTAACACACCAAAGTTTATCAGAAAATTGGCTAAAATGATTTCATAATACAGAATTAAATATATAACAGATTCTCTTTCTATCTATAATTCAATCAATATTGTAAGGAAACAAAATATTGTAAAGTTATTCCTAAGACATAATTTGTACATTAGCATTATTAATTCTAGTGAAATGGTACTCCAGATAAACATATATATTGATATTATAACATGAATCGTCCTTCACTATGTCCATGGTGCTATTTCGACATAAAAATCTAAGTAGGGAATGCCATATATTTCATCTCAAATATGGTCATTCTTGGGACCAAAGTGAATGAGAATCATAATTCCACAATAATCTGTTTCTAAACTACTGAAGACTCAGCAAGAGTCAGAAATATAAATTTTAACCTGATGATTGAAGCAACCCTTTAACTATTAAAAAAAGAAGAAGATGGGCCTCCCCTGGTGGCGCAGCGGTTGAGCGCTGGGTTGCGAAGCTGCCACAGCCTCTGCAGTGACAGTTCGATCCCCGGCCACCGGCAAGGGTCCCACATGGTGCGCAGACCTCTCCTGCCGCCTGCTGCTCCTCTCAGCAGTGTATTTCATCAGTCTGTTCTGTTCCCCGCTCTGGCTCTGGTGAATTCTCTCACCCTCCCATGCTTCTGACTGTACCCAGTGCTTGTATAAATAAATAAATAAATATTAAAAAAAAAAAAAGAAGAATCCAAGTAGGGTGGCATTTGAAGGGTTTGTGCTTTATATTATTTATGGATGTAGGCAATGAGAGCTGCATTTATGTTGTCTGTATTCTATCTGCCCCCCCTTAATTTCTCAAATGACCTAATTATACATGTTCTCAATGTGTCTCAGGAGGAAAAGAATTGCTGATATTGTCAAAAGGCAAAATGCTGAATACGTTTGGTGCTTCTCGTATTCCATGGCCTGATTATGTGCATCATTAAAATTACACCTTGACATTTTTCTGGAACATGGCATTAAACACTTCCCAATATCTCACAGTAAGAAATGAAGCACTTCCTATCATTTAGAAAGAAAAATATCTGACTTATAAAACTGACACTAATGTTTACTATTTTTCTATCTATGATGTTTTAATTTATGTATATACCTATTAGCAAGTATTCATTATCTTGTCTTATTACTTCAGATGCTGTATTAGTTGCCTGAAGTTGCTATAACAAATTATCACTAACATGATGACTGAAAACTACAGAAATTGGTTCTCTCACAGTTCTGGAGGCCAGAAGTTCAAAATCCATCAGGGCCATGGTCCCAAGAGCAGCTTTGGGGGAGAATACATCCCTTGCTTCTTCCAGATTCTGCTGGGTGTCCTGACATTCTGGGCTTGTTGTCACATCTTCTTGATCTCTGTCTCTGGGGACACATAGCCTCCTCTGTGTGCTTCTCCTGTGTGTGTCTCTTATAAAGATACTTGTTAATGGTTTTAGGGGCCACCCAGATAATCCAGGATGACCTCCTTGCACAATATTTTTTATTTTTATCTACAAAGACCTTTTTCCAAATAAGATCACAGTCACAGGTTAGGGAGATTAGGACATGAACTCTAACTGATGGCCACCATTCAACTTACCACAGATGCCAGTTTTCAAATGGTAATGGTCCATAGTCTCTGGGCAGATTTCCTAAATCTGTGATTTAAATGTTATAGTATTGGGTTGTTTTCCCCTTGAAAGACCTCAAATAAATACAGAACCTCTTTTGATATGACCTCTTATACCTGTAAAGTTCCATATTTAAATGCATCCATTCAATCTCATACAATTGATTTTGGTAAGTCAAAAGTGAATATTGATTTCTTTTTGGTATTCAGATGCCACAAAAAAAGCAGAAAGCCCTTAAATCACCTTTTTTTTCTCCTTTTATAACATAATCCACAACGTCTTCATGAATGGCCCACAGTAACAATAGATAGTGTCTAGAAATATAAGCATGAGTTCATTATAACCTTAAATATCTACTGGGCCCCTACTTTGTCCCTTGCAAATAAGGTCCTTTTGTACCTTATTCTAGGTATTAGAAATAGAGACAGGCTGACTTCATGGCCACATGACTTATGCAGAGGAACTGAACCCCATCCTGAGAAGGACCCTACACTCAGTTTTATGCTCTGCTGTTGCCAGCTTGAAATTATTAATTTTTAACAGGGGAACCTGTTTTCATTTTGTACTGAACTACACAAATTATGTAGCCCATCCTGAAAGGAGCACTGAGCAATAATATAGGTAAGATCTGCTTTCAAGGTATAATCAGGGCTCATGATGGTGAACAGCCAACACCAGGGCTCCACATATAAAAACACGATACTGAGTTTTTGATGTCAAATCAAAGATGTAGCTAGTGGAGAGCATGGGACCACATCTGGGTATATTCTCAAGGCATCATGGACTGATTCATAGTTTTTCAACCCAGTACTCATTTACTTCTTGTTCATCTCAAGCTCCAGTTCTGAATTTCTGAGAAGCATCTCCCAAAATACAACCAGAAGTTGCTAGCTGGCTATTTAAAATAAGCTTTCATGATCAATGGCATTATTTATTCTTTTTCTAATATAGAATTAATTTCAACAACAAGGGGGCAAGGATCCTGGGATCATCACAATATACTTAGAAATTTTGATCCAGCAAAATCTGCTTCAAATCCAATCACAGACTTTACTTTCAGAGAACAATAATTGTGTGATGTTCCTCTTCTGGGGAAGGGCTATCATTTAGCCTTCCTGTCCAAGAATTATTTTCTCAGTATTTTAATCATGCCGGCATGCCAGATTATATGAATGAGATCTGGCTCTTTAAATCTGCTTGGTTTTAATAATGCATTTCTAACAAAGAATAAGTATACAATTTTTAAAAAAATCTATGTTGCTTCTAAAAGGAATAAACTCAGAACTGAAGTGGTTGGTGGAAGTTTAATGCAGTTCAATTAAGGATTTGTACCCAAAGATACAAGTTGTTGCTTTTAGTTCCCTTTCTAGATTAGTCACACTAGATATAGTGCCACTTTTAACAGCATTGTGCCATTACCAGTGACTTTAATTACTGTTTGGTAATTTTATCTACTTACACCAATATTAATTAAACCCATCTCTGGGGAAAAAACAAGAGGGAGTTGCCCCAACATATGTTGATTGAAAAAAGCAAATCATAATTTTTTACTGTGGCTAATTTTCTCAGACTCCTCTTTCCTGAAGACAGAAGGAATTGATCACACCATTAATTCTAAATAAAGAACTTGTTTTCCTGTGTGTTTTAGTGTCTCCTGTTGAGATCAGCTGACTGCCCAGTGGAAACAATCTCTTTATCCTTTTATGATGTTGTAGCTTCCTGGGCAACCTAACACACTACAGATTTCAATTTGGATCAGAAGCGATGGGAAAAGTTTTACAGAAATGCCATGAAACAAAGCAACTCTCCTGATGCCAAAGATTTATGCTTAAGGGAGGCCTTGCACATGGAATCAAGTGTGCCATTACCCTCACGCCCATGAACCTGTCTTTCAGCACTATCCATGACAGCAAGAAGACAAAGGCTTTGTTACAACAGAACAGAGCAGAGACATCCGTGGCCGTCAGCTTCTTTAAAGCCAGCAAATACAGGTAGTTAGTCAAAGTCCACAGAATAGAAAAAGGAGCAGTTCTTTTAAGAAAAAGCTTCAGTGTCAGACCATCTTCACCAAAAATCCGACTGCATTCCCTAGAAAAGAAAAAGAGGTTGGTAGTCAGGAATAAATGTGACACTTCCTGTGTTGCCTAACTCTTGACAACCATTTTCAGGGATGATAAACACTAAGACTCATCCTTCATCTGTGGAACCTATTGAACTCAGTCCTGCCACCTTCAGGCCACAGTGAGCGCAAGGACAGTCTCTCGAGATTATTGCAACAGTCATTCTGTTGCTGCAGAATATCCTCAGACCAGCCCAAGAAAGACAGAAATGAACAGTTTCTGGAATTGCTATTAGAAGAGAGAAGATTCTTTCCCAATTGAAAAATGCAGCAAGTCAAGATGGCTGCAACTGTGTGAACAGCTACAATTTGCAGCCTCACATGTCAGGTAAGAGCCACACATACCTTGAGATTTCATTTCTCAAACATTATGCCTCTTTTTTGTATAGCTGCCCAAGTAGCTAATTTATTTTCCTCTTGTATTTTTAAAGCAGAAAAAAAAAAGAAAAATAGTTTCTGTGATAACCCCCAAATGTCAATAAACAAACAAACAAGTATAACTTTCTCATTCAGGTTGTATTTACATATAAACATTTAGCCATTTTGGAGAAACTGTCTGAACTTATTGTGTAAAAACAGTTACTTCAGTTAAATCTTTCATTTGATTTCTGACTGAACTGTTTAGCCCAAGGGGCCAGTTTTTATCAAAATGTCTGAGCTGTCAATACATGCAGGTAATAAGGAAAGTGATAGAATAACAGTTCCTTTTTAACTATGGACTCAAAACAGACTTGCGAATGGAAGCCACCAGAATTCAGCTGTATCTTCTTTACTTTGTGTTCATGAACATAGATGGATTTATGGGGCAACTGTCACATGACAGGCACTCTTTTTTCAAGAAGGGTATAAGTAGCACATTCAATGCAAGTTAGTATTTGTAGATTTATAATGTGTAGGATGAAATATGCTTATGTGGCACTGGATAGTTTTATAGTTTTTGTCTCACTTTTTCTGAAGAGAAACACTTGGGCTTCAAAATAATGCAAGACAAAGTAATTTCTAGGCGATGTTTGCCTCACATGTATGACGAAACTCTCCTCACAGGAGGAACACATGAGGGAAGCAGGAGAGAGAGAGGTATAAAGAATTAAGGCCCAAGCACAGGGCGATGGACTTCAATATTGAGTCGCTTCCAAGCAGCTGGCAATGCTGGGAATTGGACCAGCTGTTCCAGGGAGGTTAAAAATGCATAATGCACACAGAGAAAATTTTAGTGGTTTTACTTTTATGTGGGAGACAACCACAAAGGAAGGATTTTTGTGAAATGAAAATGTGATTTCCCAAAGGTGAATTTTAACTTGAAAGAGACAAAACTTCAATGAAGGGATTAGATAACCTAAAGGCAAAGCCTTTTGTAAAGTAAGCAGAAACTACTCGTGTTCACACACTCAGGAAAATGGATGGCTCTCAAAAGCCCTCCAGCCGCTGGGGTGTTATGAATCCAAACCACACAGAAATCAAGCAGCAGTCTCCATAGAGCATCCTGAGCAAACATTATGTGCTCTGTACTTACAAAGGGATTCTCTCCATGAGAGAGTCTGCCAGGGAGAGCCAGAGTAGAGACTCAAGCATTTATGATGACATCTACAACTATTAAATGTCTTTAAAAATATACATTTATGGGGCCTCCCTGGTGGCCGAGGGGTTAAGTCTTTGTGCCATTGACACTGAGGCCTGAGTTCGATCTTGGCCAGGGAGCTAACCCACATGGCACAGCAGACCTCTCCTGTCTCGCCCCCTGCTCCCCTCAGCAGTATATTTCAGTAGATTCAACTGTTCTGCTCCTCACTCTGTCTCTGGTGAATGCTCTCACTCCCCACACCTCTGGCCTACATACCCCACTTCCTCTATGCAAAAAATAATTTTTTTTTTAGTAAAATAAAATAAAAATATACATTTATAAAGAATCACAGCAAAACCGATTGCCAGTTAAAGTATTTTTTTAATCACTGGTCAATGGTGGCCTTTCCTTTCCAGAGACACCATCATGCTAGAGTGAGTGCGCTCAAGCAAAGATTTTGGAAGCACCTGAGGGACTCTGTCCCACTGGAAAACCTGCAGAGGTGGAAACAAGGAGAGTCCACCAGGCAAAATGTTACGTGCCAGCTCCCCCACCCCAAGAGCGATCTTGTCACCTGGCTCATCCCACCCCTCCCCAGGTGCTGCTTCCTCATTTTTTTTTAATATTTTATTTTATATAATTCTTACATCATTTTTATTTTTGTACAATGTATGCATCTCACTCTGAACTTCTCCCCATTTGTCACTGCTATTTAAGGAATTAAAAAACCTTTCCATCCAAACACCAGGTCACCTGTGTAGAACCTCCTACTCTTTAAACATGAAATTCTAGAAAATGCCACAACTCAAAAGAGAATGAATTTTTATGGGGAAGCAAATAATAAGGGGTTGATCAAAATTTCTGGACCAGAGGCACTAACAGGTGGCAAAACTTAGAATGAAGTTGCAAAACTAAAGGTCACTAGTTATGTGACTACGCTCAGCATTGTTACAACAGCTACTAGCCCTTGCTGAAAGTCAGGTAGTGTCTTAGCTTCATTTCATTGATACCTGGTATAGGTAAGTGTACCTTTAACTCTAGTTTCATGCTTTGTAGAGACCTTTTGTTCTCCTTGAGAAAGCACCCTTGTCAAAACTATTGTATATACCATTTTCTTAAATGTCAAATTCCCAAGGCATGTGAGTTCTCTTGATAGTATGTAAATGAAATTACTAAATTATCAAAAACTCCATTGAAATGGATATTACTCTCCATCTAGATTTGGTGCTTTATGGAAAATTATTTTGATGTTTGTGATAACAAAAAAGCTAGAAGTACTTTCATCACAGTCAAGAGAAAATAGCCAGAGGGGCTGGTGCTATGGAATGACTTCCATTTCCAGGCTTACTTACTTACTTACTTACTCTAAACTCTATTTCCCCCTTGTTCTACCATGAGAACTTTGGGGAGTGTCTTCTTGGCAGATGGTATTGTGTCTCCAGAAAAAAAAAATCAAAGATCTCTGAATTTTTTTACTTCCAATGTTTACTTCCCTTAAGACAGCCACTAGAGAATGCCCCCATCTAAGACATTGTTTTCTGTCTGACAATAAAAGTTCTTTGATTCAGTTTGGGAAATGATCAACTTCACGCCTACCCATAGTAACAGGTGGCGGTGTCTTGTCAAATCACGAATTTTGCTAAATTCAGTGTTAGTCTGACAAGAGAGATGTGGTGGAAATGAAGTGCATTCCCCAAACAACATTTCTGTCAGCAGCAGCTCTTGTAAACGTGTTATCTTAAATAAAATGGAGCTGTCTTGCTTTGAGGTGTTCTTGAAGTACCAATTTCCTTACTAAACTTTTATTGCTTTTATCAGTATGTGTGTCTAAATTACTGGAGCATTCAAGTAGCATAGACATGCTGAGGGTACACCCAGGTATTTTCAAACAAGGGGGATTTTTGCTTGATAATCACATTCCTTTGCAATCAGTTATTAAATAGTAGCACTAAAAAAGAAATTAGACCCCAAGAGCATGTCTACTCTGATGGGAATCAAATCCAAAGTACCTGTAGGAATCACAAATAAATATATACTTTCCTCCAAACCACAAAAAGTCATTATTTTTAAATTAGTTTTTTTCTTTTAAGTTTAACTGGATTTTCATGGACACCCATGGAAAGTCAGTTCACAGTATAACTTTAATGTTTCCACACACTTCTAAACTGGTGATAGAAAATAGAAGTCGAAGACTTCACACTAAGTTTTTAAGAAAGTCATTTCTTCTAATCAGTATGCATGGGGCAAGAAAGAAGTTTGTTTTGGCTCTTATAAGGCAAGTTTACCATCATTCTGCTGAGGAGTAATAAGCTGTGTGGAGAACTGTTGCTCTCCCAGTAGGGTCCACTGAGCCCTGAGACCACTGTTCTCTCTTGCTGATCATAGAGACTGTCCTTGAAATTATTCCTTAGCTCTGGGTTTTTCAAGAGATTGTTCTTTAGAATAGACAACACTAATCCAAACAAACCCTAGAAATCTAGTTGCAGAACCGAAGCTATCAGAAGGAAAGGGGCTCAGTGATGGTGGTGGAGGATCTCTGATGGAGGGTGTGGTTTATTACAAGGACGGTATATCCTAAGTTATATTCACTGTTGTAAACCAATGTTACCTCAACTAAAAGTGATACAATTAAAACAAAAACTGAAACAAAGAACACTGAAGAAATGTTGCCCATATAGTTTTATGCTCAAAGATAAACACATGAGCTAGGGAAGCTAAGAGAATTTGAAACTAGAGAGAAGTAAGATTCCAACATTTACTATTAGAAAGAAACTGATGTGACTGTTAACTTTGCTTTATGGAGAAAAGAAACAAAATTCAAATGGTACTATAATAACCAAATCTATCTGTCTATCTATCTATCTATCTATCTATCTATCTATCTATCTATCTATCTATCTATCTATCTATCTATCTGTGTGTATGAACATACACATAAGTTGAGTTATTGGAAAATCAAAAGTGGTTGCCCTTTGGCAAAGGTACTTTGACCCAAATGCTGTTTTTGCCTTCTAGAGTGACTTCCTGAACTCTCTAAAAGGGCACTGCAGAAGCCAGGTTTGCATGGAGAAACCACTAGAACTACAGAATACCAAGTTTGTGGCTGGTGAACAAACAGACAAGGCTTCATGTGCTCCCTCTCAGCAAAGAACAACATCTTTTAAACCTTCCCGGGTTGCATAAACCAGGTCATTGCAAATTGGTTTAGGCATACTAATATCCAGAATACTATGTGAGTGTTTCTGTAACAATTAATCTCATTAATACTATTTTTTCCATGGATGTGAGGCACCAGGATGTTTATTTTTTTAATGACTTTTGGAGAAAAATAGGTCTGAGTTTTAACCTGGGTTTCATTATTTCTAAGTATGTGACCTCAGACAGTCCACTTATCCTTCTGAACCTGTTTCTCTTGTGTTAAAATGGGGGTTAATAACACAGCTTAAAAGGTGGCTATGTCCATCAATGATGAGTAAATAAGAGATATACAACCACCAGCATAATGCCTGGCATGTTGTGAACAGTCAGTATACGTGTGTGTATGTGTGTCTGCGTGTATTTTTTTTTAGAGGGGAGTGATTCTATCTCCTGGTATTCATTAACAGATCCTGCTCTCCTCATTCCCAAAGTCAACGCAACTCACATTTCAAAGAGATAAAAATATGCATTTTTGCATAAGACATATTTTAATGCATCTCCTATTTGGTCATTTAACATGAAACCTACCTGAATTTTTTCATTGGAGATTGTTTTTCTTGAGCAGTGGCTAGATGACCAGAATAATAAACTGGGAAAAACATAATGTTCCAATTTGTTGAAAACCAAGTCATGAAAAATGGACAGTAGAAGTTCTTATAAGTAATTTTTACAATCTGTGTGGTTCCAACCCAAGACGATGACACTGACAAGATGATCAAGAGCCCCCAGATGGCCTTCAGCAACGCAGATGTGCAGGACAGGCAGCGAGCCTTGACTCTGTTTTCTTGGCTGCTGTTCTCAGGATGAGTCTGTGTGCCATCGTCCCCTGAAAACAGCAGAGGAATACAAATATGTGGAAATCAGGTAATAAAGAAGCAGACAGTAGAATCACCAGTGTTTTTTCTTTCTACCATCATTTCAAGAGACAGATGACTCCAGATCATCTTATCTCAGTAATCTCTGGTCTGCAAGATCCAGCATGTAGCTGGACCCCTACTCCATCAACGAGGATGCTCCCAATCTTGGTGGATGCCATGCTGTTCTCCAGGTCATCCTACCTTCTTCTTTGAAAAGGCTCTACCCAGGGCCTCCCTGGTAGTGCAAGGGGTTAAGATGCAACCTATGAAGCTATCCACAGCCGATGCAGCACGAGTTCAATCCCCGGCTAGGGAGCTACCCACATGGTGCAGCAGACCTCTCCTGCCTCACCTGCAGCTCCCCTCAGCAGTGTATTTCAGTCAATCTGCCTATTCTATTTCCCACTCTGTCTCTGGTGAATCCTCTCACCCCCACACCCACAACTCTGGCCTGTACCTCAGTTCTTGTATGTTTAAATATATAAATCTTTAAAAAAAAAAAAAAAGGCTCTACACAGTTCAGCCCTAAAGGCACGAGATATGGCCACATGACTGCTTTATCTAATCCAAAGTGAGCAGAGCTGAGGTGTGCACCTCCCAGCGGAAGCTCTGAGAGGCTTGCTCCCAAGTTCAAGCAGCTCTCTGCTCTTCCCATCTGCTACTGGAATGGAAAATCCCAAATAGGAAATGCTCTTTCTGTCCATGTGGGAGGAGGAGCAGAACCCAGCAGCCAAAGTAGCCCTGTATCTGCTGACATGAGACCTAAGTGAGAAACAAGTACGTGTTGTTATATTCCACTGATTTTTTTTAAACACTGCAGCAAAGATAACTATAAAGTTACAAAGCAATGTGTCCCAAGAACGGAGCAGGTCCTGATGACACAAAGTCAATTTCCTGCCTCAGAACAAATTATGTTTTAATAGATTTCAGGGGAGGGGGGCACAATGAGTTTGCTTTATATTTTTACATTTACTAAGAAGTTTTAGTAGCATTTTTTTTCAGACTAAAATAGTCAAAACTCTCTGAAAGTGATGGAGGAGTTGCCTTTAAACACAAGGTTGATCCTGGAGGCTTAAGGAAGTAGTGCAGGCCACAAACTGCAAATGCTAGAGACTGGAGCTCCTCACTTTACCTCTTGGAACCTGCTGGTTCTCCTGCTGAATGTGTTTCTACTGCTTAATGAACCAGGTATGACTCCCCTCTGGGGTAAAAACTTTTACCCAGCTAAGGCTTTCTGATACAACTATTTGGAGGAAGGAATTAGCAAGGCCTGAAAGTAAATTCTTCATTGGGGAATGTAAAAAGTAAGAAAGAATACAACAGTTATCATAAAATTTCCAAGTATTATAAACAGGACTAAATTATTAGGGCCCTGACCTCTAGGAGGTGGAAAGCACTACTCTTTCCTTAATCTATTTCACAAAATCCTATGGAGACTCAAGTTAGGTATTTGGGCCACAGAGGTTCAAAGGTGAAAAAGACTTGAGCTTACAGTCTAGTGCAAAGGTAGAAAACACATCTAAGAGTGGATAAGGGACAACCTTGATGGATATAAGGCAAATGGAGGCAGAAGAGAAACACCTATCAAGGGGAGTGGTGGAAAGTGACCAAGAGAAACTTGCATGATGCCGTGACATTGAGATGAGTCTGCAATGTGAGTTAGGCAACTCCTTGACTGTGTGCACACAAGGCCTGTACTTGATATCAGCTCTCCAAATGTTGATTATGTAGAGAGTAGAGGGGGAACTGAAAATGAATAAGAGATTCTTCTCTTGGGAGGCTGGAAAAGGCTTGTCATTCTCATCTTATAGATGAAAAAACTGAGACTTGTGTTAAAGATTCTGCAAGGTTGAACTAAGTCAGTGCGATTCCAGGGTTCAAACTTTTTATTCTGAATACTCATTCTACCTGGGTTTTCAGGTTTGAGCTCTTTGGAATTTGGAAACAAGAGTGTAAAGTTCCAACTCTGCCATTTGTAAAGTCCCAACTCTCCTGAATATCTGTTTAATTCCAGACTTAGCTTCAAACAGCGATAACCTCTGTCTCACAAGATACGTTTTGAAGTGAAGCACCATAAATTCATGAAAAGATGGTGAGTTGCTCTTCAGATTTTTCTTTTCTCTTTGGTGCACTGGAATATCTCCAGGTGACTTCTGAATCATCACAGAAAGAATAAATGATGTCTTAGGTGATCCTTAATGGTATAGCCTTTGAAATTTGTAATCTTTATCTGATAGAGCAACTCTTTATTAACAAGTATAACTGGAATATTATGTTCTTCAGATAACTGGTATAAGAGGAATATTACTGTAATGTATGCAATCCAGCTAAAACTTTTCAAAGACTTAAGTCAATTTTTGGAAAGTTATGGGCTTTAATGTCATTTCAGCACCGATTTATTTTGGATGAAGTTTTTTTCTGCTTTTGCTATTGTTATTATTATTTTTGAGAATGCAAGAGATTTTAATATGTTGTTGGCCATGTGGAAGGAATACAGAGAGAAGGGATTGAAAATGCAGGTGATAGAAATGGAAGCGAGGCAATCTGTAGACAGAGGAGTTAACATGGGAAAGGCAGAAACTGCAAAGATGATCCTGCAATGATGCTAACTGGCAAACAAAAGAAGAGAGGATTTTTGAGGCAGAAAGAAGACATTTGTTAGCATCTAACTGTTTAGCTCTTTTGGAAGGTGGCTATATGCTGAGAGGAAATAAGCCTGTATTTGGGCTTGAGGCCATCCTCCAGGGAAGGCCATAAGATGTTCATCCCTAAACAGAAACAATAACTGGGCAGCAGTCCAGACCCAGCTTCCCTGAACAATTATAAAGTGCTGGGAAACTCAAGGACATACTCAAGAGATTATTCTAGCAATTCAGTAACCCAAGTAACAGAGGAGTTGGTGAGTGGTCCAGAGGAAGTGAGCAAAGACTGAAGCAAATGCTGACATGGCCTGAAGATATAAAATTGTGAAAACAAGAAGTGTTCCAGAGTCTGTTTAGTCCTGAGGAGAACATGAGCAGATTCTATTATTTTACTGGTGTTTTTATCTTTCTCAGAATGGGCACAGAATGTTAGTACTAATGCCCTGGACTGAGATAAAAGACGCAGGTTTTCAGCATCTTGAAGATGAGGTAGAGGTATCATCCTTACAAACTTCATTAGGTATTGTTCAATCATGTTAAGATCTTCAGTGATTGTGTCATTTGCTTTCTACGTCACACCATAAACCTCCACACATTTCTTTTCTTTCTCCTACCTGTTGATAAGCTTTCCCCTACGCCCATTCAGAAGAATGCATTTAACCTCTCCACTTCTTGTGCCAGTGGTGAGGTGCTCCTTGACTGGTTAGAAGGTCACCTACTCATGCTATTATTTAACAGGAGGTCACCACATACCTGATCTGCTCTGTCTCTCGATTCTATGTCCACAGACACCAGAGGATCCTCGACTCTGAAGTTCAAGAATAGGAGCAGAAGAATCTTCAGTGACGGAGAGTGGGGAAAGTTGTCTACTGATGCCACTGTGTGAACTGGGACAGTTGGTTCCTGGTTTACATCGAGCTGCTGATGATCTGGAGGTACCTGGGAAGAGAGAGTTCATACCAGCTTGAGAACTTACTAGAGGAAAGATTGGAAAGAGATTTTTAAGTGCCTGAGCAGTGAAATACACAGCTGCAATAACCACAGTCCTGATGGAACATGTGTTGAGTTTATTTCTAATTTTATAAAAAGAGGTTCCTAAAAAGAAGACTATGTTGACAAGGTCTGTGTCCCGAAGATAAAAGGTCTTTTCAGATAAATTCATTAAACTAGGAATGAGCATTGGAAAATGGTTTTGGGTTGATATTTTCTGTTCTGAATTAGAACTCTTAACAGCCAAATAGTTTACATCAAGGAAAGCACTTGGCTTCCTCCCTCCCTTCCTTAGACTGACTGTTGAATTCCTCACTGGTAAAAATGCTAACAGAGTATCCTATTAAACCCACAATACACTTTTCAATCAGATCACTGGATCTCCAAAATCCAGCATTGCGTATCGCCTCAATCATCTCTGATCTCTGTTATAGATGAAAACCCAGCACTCAGAATTCTCTACAGGCCATGCCCCTTCCTATCCTGATTAATATTCCACAGATCCCCAACACAGGGGTGGCTTCAGGGCTTGCATTAGTGCAGTCACATAGGCCCCTCAACACATGAACCCCCTGAGCACAAGGAATAGATGCTCTGCAGTGGCCATCTTGAAGTTCCTAATATTTTAATCATTCAACTCGTGTTTTGTGAGTGACTTCCTATGGGGTAAGGAGGCATACACAGGGGGCTAGGGACTCAGCTCAGGTTTGGTCTTTCTTCCTTTTACTCTCAGAGTAAATGCCTCTGAGTCAGGCTTTTACTTGCTCACCCCTTGGCCTCTTCCAGCAAGCTTACAGGGTTCAAGCAATAGTGGGGGGACTGTTGGAATCTCAGGCTCCTCAGTACACATGGGAGCCTACACTCATCCAGCAAGAATACCTATGTCCAAGAGAGGAGACATTAAATATCAAACAAAAATCACCATGGCAGGAGGGAAGACGGGACAAAGGGAGAGACAGAACATAAGAAAGGAAAAACCATTTTCCCACTTTCTGAACAAAAGGCCCCATATTTTCATTTTGCACTAAGACCTCAAATTATGCAGCCAGCCCTACTCCAGCCTGAGTATCCCTCTGAATAAAGCTGGTTTTGAATAACTGGTGTTCTGACATCTTACTCTCTGTGCTGATGACTTTCAAGCCTTTGAGCTGTTGTTCTACCCGCAACCCTCTGAATTTGTCCACAGCCTTAAATTCTCAGATCAAGTGCTGATTGGTCCACGCAGCCTTTGCTATGAGATAGCATACATCTCTACTTTGAACTTTTCCTGTCTGAGTTCATTATGACAGCAGTCATGTACTTATTGTCAAAATATTTTGACAACCAGGCAGACACTTAAATAAACTTCTAATTTTGTAGTGATTGATAATTACAGAAAAGTTGCAAATACACTTTATAGTTTCCATATACTCTTTACTCAGTTTCCTCTACAGTTAACTTCTTATATACCCCAGGTATGTTTGTCAAAATTAAGATAGTAACATTGGTGCATTTCTATTAACCACACTCTAAACCTCATTTGAGTTTCATTAGTTTATCATAATGGCCTTTCATTATTTCAGGACCCCACATTACACTTAGTTGTCATGTCTCCTTAGCTCCTATGGTCTATTGTCACAGGCCTTTAGTCTTTCCTTGTTTATATGACCTGACAGTTTTAAGAAGTGATACTGAAGTGTTTTGTAGAATGCTCCTAAATTGGTGTTTGTCAGATATTTTTTTCTCATTGCTATATTCAGGCTTTTTTTTTTTTTTTTTAAATAATAGAGGTGAAGGCCTCCCTGGTGGTGCAAGGGGTTAAGCACTGCACTATGAAGCAATCTGTGGCCTCTTCAGCATGAGTTTGATCCCCGACTGGCCAGGGAGAAACCCACATGGAGCGGCAGACCTCTCCTGTTTCTCCTGCTGCTCCCCTCAGCAGTGTATTTCAGTCAGTCTGCCTGTTCTGTTCCCTGCTCTGTCTCTGGTGAATCCTCTCACCCCCCACACCTCTGGCCTGTACCCCAACCCTTATATGCATAAACTAAATAAAACTTAAAAAAAAAAAGAATAGAGGTGAAGTGTCTCTCCTATCACATATCAGTCTATCAATTGACTTATCAATGACGATGTTCACCCTGATCACCTGGCCAAGGTCATGTCTGTCATATTTCTCTCTTTCCCCTTTTCACATTCTGTTCTTTGGAAATAAGTCTCCAAGGTGGAGAATGGAGAGTGGGAAGCTTTACCTTTCAGAGGGTGTGTACACATGTCATTACTTGGAATTCTTCTGAAGAGATTTGTTCTTTTCCTCCCATTATTTATTTATTCAATCATTTATTTATTTCAGTATAGACTCATAAATATTTACTATATACTTTGGGTTATAATCAAAATTGAGTTGCTAATTCATTGCTCAGATTATTCCAGGTTTAGACACTGAGAATTCTTTCAGATTGGCCTCTGAGTTCCTTTGACATGTCCCATTCTTTTGGTTTTTGAGTTCTTTCTTACTTTCTGGCTCTACAAGATGCTCTGGGCTCATCTTTTTTTCCCCTGCCCACTCCTAGAATCAATCAATTATCCTTTAATTAGAGAACAGTATTTAGAAGCCAGGTCCTGACTTTGAGTGCAGTATTGGGGTACACTTGAATCTAGGTACTCTCAGTTGTATATCAACCTATATAAATACATCTATCTGCAATGATCGATATTTTAATATCTTTAATTTTATGACTCTACGTGCCAGGTAAGTGTTCTATAAACAGCATAATCTCAAACAATATTTGCTGGTTCTCATGAGGGTCAACTGGGATAATTAGATATAGAATATCAGAATTAATTTGGACACTGGGAATCTCTTTTCAATGAATTTGAAATATCCAGTTACAAGGTTATGAAAGGGAGGGCAGACATGTTGGATATGTAAAGGCTCTATCTTGGTGTGGTACACTCAAGATGGTAGAGAGGAGGCAGAAACTCTTCAATGAAAAGTAAAATCTTGAAGTAACAATGTCACTCTGGTTTTAATTTGGCTTTGAGTCTACCATATTATGTACTGAGTAATCACTGGAAGCAGTAAAATTAGTGTCTTGAGAAGCAATGGTGTGCAAAGAAAGCTGAAGTTCCTGAACCTTCATTTCTTACAAGAAGATAGCAGAACACCAGTGTAACATTAGATGCAAGTGTTAGTTTCATAGTCCAGACATCTCCATCTATGGCAAAGGTAGATCTTATTTCCTCTCTTTTTCTTTTTCCCTTAATCATGGGAAAGTCGAGGTTTATAAAAAAGTAGTTGAATGTAGTTCTATGACCCATTAGTAAGTATATCAATTTGACCTAATTAAAATTTATTATATTATTTAATCTTGGATTTTTAAAATTTTTTTATTTTTAAAGATTTATTTATTTATACAAGAACTGGGGTATAGGTCAGAGGCATGGGAGGGTGAGAGAATTTACCAGATACAGAGCAGAGAGCAGAACAGGCAGTCAGACCAAAGACACTGCTGAGGGGAGCAGCAGGTGAGGCAGAAGAGGTCTGCCACGCCATGTGGATTTCTCCCTGGCCGGCCCAGAATCGAACCCATGCTGTAGAGGCTGCGGACAGCTTCACAGCGCAGCGCTCAACCCACTGCACAACTGGGGAGGCCCCTTAATCTTGGATTTTAAAAAATAATACTACTCCAAAAAAAAACAAAAACAAAAACAGAAGCCGTACACACTGATTACTATGCTTAAGTTAATGCTATGTTAATTTTGTTAGCATAAAAGTACATAAGATACTTTTTTAAAGATTTATTTATTTATGCATACAAGATATGGGGTGCAGGTCAGAAGTGCATGGTGGGGGTGAGAGGATTCACCAGAAATAGAATGGGGAGCAGAACAGGCGGATCTACTGAAATACACTGCTGAGGAGGGGAGCAGCGGGCGAGACAGGAGAAGTCTGCTGTGCCACGTAGGTTAGCTTCCTGGCTGGAGATTGAACTCACACTGCAGTGGCTGCAGATAGCTTCATAGTGCTGAGACTTTAACCCCTTGCGCTACCAAGGAGGACCCAAGATTCTCATTTTATATATCCAACATGTTTGCTGTCCCTTTCATAACTTTTTAATCGGATATTTCAAATCCAATGAAAAGAGGCTCCCAAAATTTGATGCTCTTTAAAAGGAACTGGCACATAGCTGCAACAGAGTTGTTTTTAATTTATCTTTCAAATACTTTTAAATAACTTATTTTTAATGAATTGTGCACTCTCACATTTTCTTAGGTGAGTATCAGATTTCATTTTGCGACTCAGCATGTAGGTGGAAGGAAGTCCAAAAACAAATTGAGCAGCAAAAAACAAGTTGAAACAGAGTTGAGATAAAATATTGCCATAGTTACTGAAAAGTTGGTAAATCATGTGTAGCTAGCAAGTGTGCACTTGTAAGCCAAATAAATGACTCCTCTTGCTTCCTCACGTTCACTGAAGTATTATGTCCTGCTTCTGTACCTCCTGTGGTTCATGTAATATAGCTCAAAGCCTGTTGCTTGCTGCCAGTTTCCTCCCACTGGTTGATTTGTGGAAGAGAGTCCAGAGTAGTTCAGCCACTGGAGACATTTAAATCATGGTCCTAAAAAGGCAAAATTTAAACATCAGAGCCAGGCTCAGAGGCACGTTCAGGGTTTGGACCATAAAAAAGTCATCTTCTGTCCAGGAAATGAAAACACTGCCTCATCCTCTATGATCTTGAACCATTCAATTCACTGAAAATCAGCCCTGACGAAAATAAATATCCCATGTTTCCTGGATGTAGTCTAGAATTATAAATAAATCATATCTATTTTATATGCCACAGTGAGTGTCTGGGCATTAAAATTCAGTTAGTGAGCAGTGTTCGACTTTAATAGGTATTGAGAGTAAACTATACTGGGAATGATGGATTGGGAGTCTCTCACGAGTCACCTCAGATGGTTCCCCTTTC